CATACTTCAACACAGCAATCACTCGCAAAGAAGAGTCAAGTGAAGAAAAGGGCCTATCTTTTCTTGTTACGCTACGTCATATAGGAACTGTTTTTGTACCTTAAGCTTTTAGCCGATTTTTTTCGACTTCATCATCAGCATCAACAGTCTGAAGACGAGAACTGCTGAACAAAGGCCTTCTCTTTAGTCCTTCACCTCGTGCATCCATCATAATTATCATCATACATTTTGACTTCATAGATCGTAACGTATACCTACGTACCTTTGTCACGGAGAACATAACGGGTTACCGGGGCTCCGGCTCGAAGTGCAGGAGAAGGAACGGGGTGGTTTTTAGTCAGTAAGAGTCTGACACTTCCTTCCGCCTCACCCAGGCGGGAGAAGTCATTCGATGATTTTCCCTCCTTAAAAAAATACCTTCTTACCTTAGGCTACCTTTGTATTTTTCAATCGATCAACAGTTACTCCGATTACCTAATCGACTCGAGTTGTTGTAGCGAAAATCTTTACCTTACATTTACACCGGAGTTTTACACCGAAGTAATTGTTATACACAATAGCACTTTCTTATCAGTTTTATCAATGTTTAGCTAATGACCGTGTGGCTAGAACTAGCATGTGGGTAGTTATTTTACGACCTTGGGGACATTGATTTGGATTGTATTTACCATCTAGCTGTTGCCCGCGACTTTGTCCGCGTAAAATATGAATTTTAGAACATTTTTTCGTTTCAATTTTCCAAAGTAAAAGTAGGTACTTAGCCTATAGCTACCTGCCAATAAAAGTCTTGCAAAATCGGTCCAGCCACTTCAGAGATTTTTTTTAAGGGGTGGAAAATCATCGAATCTCTTCTCACGCCTGGGTAAGACGGGAGGGAGTGTCAGACTCTTACTGACTAAAAACCATCCCGTTCCTACTCATGCTCTTCGAGCCGGAGTCCCGGTAGCCCGTTAGGTTCTCCGCGGCTCCGTATCGCAGCAGCATCTATTGGGTCCCATCTGTGGTACTCGGATGGCTCTTTGAGGAGCGCGGAACGCGAGCCACTTCACAGATTAGCCAGTACAAACAGACAAGCAAACAGACAAACAAAATTTGTAAAAAATGTTATTTTGGTTTGTGTATCGTAAGTTCATTTATATTACAACTAGATATTACAATTTTAAGTATCTGTACCTATAGATGTACTTATATACCTACATTTATTTGATTTATTAATCATTTTGTTGGTAGTCTGTATTGGTGACAGGTCAAAAGGGTTTATCGGCAAACGATCTTAAAAACACGGTGTTGCCCAGTCCGTCGTCCGTCCAGTCTTTCCAGTCCGATGTTTGAAATTCAACTTTATATCAATAAGGTAAGGTTAAAAAGGAGAATGTCCTATTTACCTATAAAATGTATAATATCTAACGAATTGATAGGTATTTACCTAGTTATTTATTAACTCGTCGAGTACCGTATTTATAGACACAATTAAAGAACAATAGGTCGCGGTCACCGGTGACCGCCTGGTGTTTGACAGTTTAATGCCTGAATAGGTATCTATAGAGCCCTAATTCTAAATTCAGCCGATGATTAAAAATTATTCAGAAATCCGATACATACCTACCTAATTCATTATAATTGTAGTCATGATAAGTTTTTATTTGTTGATTATCGTGCAATAGCGGTAAATCAGAAAATGATTAGCTTAAAATCCTTGTTATCGTCCGTCTATTTTTTTTTTAATAAACCATTGCCCCAATCTAGGATTTTTTCCTGTGTCGTTGGTGCGTTTACAAACATACAAGTTCACGTACACGATGACACCCAAACCCGAAATAACAATTTGTGGATCACACAAAGTGTTGTTCCGTGCGGGAATCGAACCCGTGACACGTTGCACGGCAGCTCAGCCGCCGCACCAACCGTGCAGTCTATGCTTTGACTATCCGACTCCCAATGTCACGAATCTTCAATACAACCTGAGTAACCGATGAATAAATAGTTTAATACTATGAATAACTTACCTGTTGACATCAGATACATCAGCTTGCAGCAATGCTCGTACAACTAACTAAAGTAAGTATCTAATTAACTATATCTAACATCGAAAGGGGATAACCATTGTCATTCAACACCAATCTACACAACCTTATTATTGTAAAAAATAGGTACGTATTATGATCACTATCAATAATAACTGTATTTCAGTAGATTTTCTTTAATAATCAACTACAGAAAAAAAACATTAGCTCCATATAAATTGTATGAATATCACTAGTACCAGATATACAGCTAAATAGATTATTGTGTAAGTTAAATTTTATCATCATCATCATCAACAGCCTATAAATGCCCACTGCTGAGCAAAGCCTTCTCACACGGAGAAGGCTTGAGCATTAATCATCACCCTTGCTCAATCCGCTTTGGCGATTTCAAACTCATAATTAGAAATTATACAAGACAGAGCGAGGAAAGGAAAGAATGAGTAGGTACGGGGTTGCTAGAAATAAAAACAAAATATTTATTTTGGGAACGGAATCGTTTATTGAACCCATCTGTAATAGTAGATAATTAAATTATACTGTTACTCTACATGTTTTGTACTGTTCAAAGTACCTACCTATGTCAAGTATTCCTAAATTCTTAGGTTAAAATGTACCGACAAATGCACCCAATACCGAGCAATTTTCTTAAACATTTTTAATTTTTTTCAGTTGTGCTCCAAATTCAGTGGTAGCTACCAATCACAGTACCATTTGGATCCTACGATTAAACACATGGATACTTTTATTTCCCATGAAATATGTAATGACATTTTTTATTTATTTTTTTAAACATAGATTATGACAGATGACACTAATGTATGACAGGGTTAACGGATTGGTCATTTAAAAACATACATTTCGATTTCGGAACAACGGTCGTCATTCAGCTTACAATGGAAAGATCCAAGAATTTTACTTGCAGTAATAGTAACTTACAATTAATAAGGATTTTACACATTTTGTTTGGATACAAACACGTATTGTGTAAACTTACCGCACGTTTAAATAGTACACATTGTTTACAATCGTATAAATTCGTTAATAATATAATTAAGAGTAATTTGAATATAAACATTAGTATTAAAACATTAATCATGCAAGTAGATATTCGTTCTTTACACGTTTCCTTAGTACAAGTTCATACATCAGTGTGTGTATCCAAAACAACTAAAGGGGACGTCTTTTAAATTTCAAATTAGGCATTACATCGTAGCCATTAGTAGCTTACACTAAATAAGTTAATATTTTAGATAATATCGATCGAGTCGTCGCTTCGTTTACATTAATTAATAATAGGTATAAATTTTCCTTATTGTCTTCATTCTTCACCATTAAAAAAAAGCTGGGTATGAAATAATTGCCAATAACAAAAAAGGACAGTGTTGCAGCGTAACAAGTGGCGGAGAAAATGTTTCGTGTAAAATCGCTTTGGTTCAGCCATTTAAAATAACAATACAATAATAAAGTGTACATTTAAGCCAAGGTTTTTAACCGCGTCCAAATAGAATAATTTTACAGATATAACGTAATAGCAAGACGCTATTGTCAATGGTAAAAATAACAAATGAATGGTAAGATTTTATGCAAATAGGTATTATTCACAGTAATATTAAAAACAGTATTATGTCTATGGTATTATCAGATCATGACATAATGTGAGTTTTGTAAAAGTATTTAATTTTATACGACAACCCTATCGTGCACTTATTTGGCTTTAGGGTCGTACAAACTTAGAACAATATAATTATCGATATCGATAAAAGTAATAATTACTTATTTAATTATTTATGAATAGAAATCACCATCATCATTTGTTATTATTACCAATTATTAAATTATAATGTATCGTTGCCTTAATAAATAATACAAATTCATGATATGTACCTAAGTATACACAGAAAAGATCGACAATACGCAAATGATACAAAATAAATAGCATATCGATGACGTCGTAATAATTATATACATACATTTAACATACTTTAGTACCCTTCGATTTTAATGGATCTTTATAAATGGTTATTCGATTGTTATAGATGACTATTCTTTAATCGATAAGTAGTTTCTAGTTCGATAAGTAAATTGTAATCGATATTTACATAAGTACCTATTATTATGATTATTACGCAGAGATCACGCGATTGGATCATCTGTCCCTTTCCGATTCGTTACTCAACACTTTTGTGCAAAAGAGAGGGCTTCAGTGATCGATTCGCGCGATCGAGTTTACGTGACAGGTGCACAGACTCTGCTAGACAGAACTCCACCCTAGGTCCAACGTTAACGCTTCGTTCGGTTAGAAAGGAATCCATTTAAATGTATATGAAAATAAGTGGGACTTACAGTATATACAAAAATATCACATTACTTCGAGGCCGCAGCTTTCAATCACTTAGTCAATTAATTATTTCGTCTTCTTACCTAAGTTGTCGGTCGTTGGTACGAAGCGTAAGCAAGTTAACGCAGGAAGTAATCGATCCAAATGAATACTATTGTAATGTGAAGCTGTCTCCGCCTGCCGGAAGCCTTTCCTTGCCTAAGCGCAAATCACTCAAAAGCTCCGACGGCGCGCGAGATACATCAGTAACATTATTGCTGAACGAGTCAGTCGCGTATGAACTAAACATTTTCCAATTATACATTATCATCGCATCTGTGCCTTTTATGCGTTAGTCTCCTCACACCTACTAACGAATATCTAGTAAGAATTTCTTTTAATAGACTAGGTGCCTCGTCATAGATCTACTAATCCAAAGTGAGTACTACGACACCTACGAGATCTAGATTTCGAAGCAGAAGTATCTAAAAAGCTGCAGCCGGCAGATCGCGCAGCCGTCGTCGACGCTGCACTACAAACATAATCGGCCGACACGCGTCCGACGGCGACGATGTCGTCACCGTCAGCATCGCCACCGCGGTCTATCACAACGACATAGAAAAATATAACGATCTGGGACGCGTTTTATTGCTAATTTAGGTACAGTCTTTGGGGGCCTCCGGGGAGGATCCGCCGGAGAAGTCGTCGAGGAAGTCGAAGGTAGCGACGGCGGCGCGCTCCGGCTCGCCGTAGCGGACGAAGAAGCCCTCGCGGCCGAGGATGGAGGGGCGGCGGCAGCGAGCGCGCGGCCCGGCCGGCCCGCCCAGCGCGCCGCCGCCGCACGGCCCGCCCGGCCCGCGCACGCGCAGCGCCGCCGCTGCGGCAACACGAGCGTCACTCACCTACTCTACAAGCGCGCGCCCTCTGGACCACACAACACGCGTGAGCACCCGCCCGCCCCGCCCACACGCTCGGCTGCACCACGCTCACACGAACCACGTAGCCACCATACTGGCACTACGTTTCTAATCTCTCTTTCTACTCAGTAATCAGTTGTAAACTTCTTATGTAAATCAAAATTGAATATTCAGAACTCGATAATAAAAACTTTATATCGATATTTTTTTCATCGACACATATTCCTTCTCTTGACATTTTTATTTAATATGTCAAAATTGTTGCATTATCTGTGAGCGTGGCTTCACCTGTAGATGACAGTCTACTCGAAATGAGGCGAGAGAGTGAGATGGTGCGTGTGAGTGAGAGCGGAAACGAGTGACGTGGCTGGACGTGACGACAGACAAAATGAAATGACATGACACATAATACATAGATCCGCACAGATCTTACGAACAAGTTTTTAATGTAAAAAGAGAATATAGACACAGAATATATTCAAAAAGAATTAATTTACATTACGGATATTAATATAAAGTAGAAAATTTCCATAAAAAGGATAATATTAAAGATCTGTGCGGTTTGGAGAAAACGTTAAATGTAAAACAGTGATTTCAGATCTAGAAGACATCTAGAAGAAAATAGATGCTACTTTAATTTATGAAATAATTTCTTAATTATTTTGTTTCATGCTAAAAACTTTTAAACACAAATCATAGGTAAATTCCATCGATCAGGCTTTTATATGTAAAAAAAAAACAAAGTACAAATCGAAAAAAAAAGTTGTTGCAAACTAAAATACACTGGCAACATTTAACGTTTATAAAAAAGCAAAATAAAAAAAAAATGAAAGAGAAATGTAAAACTGAATTGAAATGGAAAATCGTAATTGATTTTATGGCAACAAATAATTTTAATAGAAAACGTAAATTTATTTCTAAGCATTAATGACAGACGACAGCGCATCAAGCTGCCCCATTTTGTCCTCATATCTTCAACTGATTTTCCACCTTATCACTTTGTAGCAAAGTTGAAAATCTATTTAAGATTTTTGACAGTTTGGGATACCTTGTGCGTTGTCTGTATATTGAATATATTTGAGATTTGAAAACATTCATTAAAACAGTAGAATTTTTACGAACTATTTTAAATTATGTATCAGAAAATGAATGAATCAGATTTCAAATATAACATTAGGGGATAACAATTCGAAGGTCGTATACAAACTGACATTATGAAGATAACATCATCACGCCTTTTATCCTCGAAGGGGTAGGCAGAGGTGGACATTATATCACTGTACAATGTAACACTCATTTTTCACTATTTATGTTATGAGTCCCATGTAATAGGGGGTGAGCCTACTGCCATATACCGGGCACAATTCCAGACTCCGTGTTACTACTGAGAAGTTTTTAAGAACCCAGTAATACTTTCCCCGACCCGGGAATCGAACCCGAGACCCCGGCCCGGCAGTCGCTAATGCGACCACTTGGCCAACGAGGCAGTCAAAATTTTAGAAGAAAGTAAATTCATTATTCTATTAACATCAGTTTGTGGCAGAGCTTCTAAAATGTCACATTATTAACCCCTCAAGCGTCCTTATGAGCACCCGGCGGATCATAAGAAAAAATGCTCCATGCTGCTTTCTCTTTTGTAAAATCTATTATTAATGTTTTGTTTTAATTTTGACTGTATTTTTTATTTCTATTGTAATGATCCTTGTTTTCGTGTGCCAATGGCCAAATAAATGCATTTTCTTTCTTTCTTTCTTTCTACAAATGTCACGTTCGCACCCGTTGGATCATAAGGAACGCGGACGCTCGACGGGTTAATATTATTCAAAAAATAATATTAGGAATAGTTCAGATATTTACCTGTCTTTTGTCTCCTGGACCTGTGTAGACGATGTAGCCTGGAGTAGGGCGGGGGAGGCTCGGCAGGCGAGGACCCACATGATGATGGAGAGGAATCGCTGGACGCTAGCATCACGTCCAGGAGATTCGCTCGGGCCTGGAATGTCGTGGTAGAACATGTGAGACAAGTCAAAGCATTTATTTCAATTAAACCATACTTTGGTACTTTTGAAACGTCAACAAATACAAAATAAATAATAGTCTGTCAGTCAGACCGTTAGTGAAAGTATGTGAAGCTAGGTATCAAGAAGTAAGTAGGGAAATTACATTTTAGATGAGAAAATGTGTAGTTAACTATAAATTAACTATAAAACTAGAGGACCAATGACAAGTGGAATAATTCTTTTGAGTTAAGTTTACACGACAGGCTCTTATGAAGACAAACATTACAGGAAATGTGAGAAAAACAGCAGGTTGTAGCCAAATGCCATTTAGCGCTTGTCTTTTTTTTTATGGCATAAGCCGGTAAACGAGCAGACGGATCACCTGATGGTAAGCAATCGGCGTTGCCCATGGTCACCTGGAACACCAGTGGCGTTACAAGTGCGTCACCGGCTTTTTGGGGATTAGGAGTTTGAGGATCGTTGGGGATTCAGGGATTGGGGAGGTTGAGGAAGGGGAAGGTGATTGGGCCTCCGGTAACCTCACTCACACGACGAAACACAACGCAAGCGTTGCTTCACGTCACGGTTTTCTGTGAGGCCGTGATATCACTCCGGTCGAGCCGGCCCATTCGTGCCGAAGCATGGCTCTCCCACACTTAATGTCTACATGTAGAATAGAAAACCAAATTATATGCAATTGACGTAAATTTTGACACTAAATTGTCAGTGTCATCCTTATACATTTAGTTTTCTACTCTCTCTGTAGACAAGCGCTAAAGTGGCGTTTGGCTAAAGGCACAGATATATAGAATTACAGAATAAACCCTGTTAGGGTCAGTTGGTTGCTATCAACAGTTTTTAGTTAGATTTGATTTCAAAATTACGATGTCACACTTTCATGATTGTGTCAACCCAAAAAATGTCTTACAAGAGACAAACATACCATCATCATCATAACATCACGCCTTTTACGTCCGAAGGGAAAGGCAGAGGTGCACATTACGGCACTTAATGCCACTGTACAATGTAACACCCATTTCACTACTTATATTATAAGTCCCATATAATTGGGGGTGAGCCTATATACCGAGCACAATTCCAGACTCCGTGCTCCACTGACAATTTTTTTAAAAACCCAGTATTACTTTACCCGACCCAGGAATCGAACCCAAGACCCCTTGCCCGGCAGTAGCACTTGCGACCACACAAACATAAATACACACTATACAGAAAACAATCGAGTTAAAACACATTTTTTTTCGCCATTGAAATATAGGTCATCTTACTAGTTCTAACTTTTAATCTTATCGACTAAACATAGAGAATATAAACAAATCATTACCTTAGGATCGCTGAAATCAATATCTTTTTCAACATGCACCCATCCTGTCGGTGCCCACAGCGCGCCGTCCTTGTGTGAGTGAGGTTTGTCCCTCTCCTCTGCCGTGCTCGTCGCGCCCTCACTTTGACGTATCATCCTTAAAAAAATGGAAAAAACCATCACATAACGATAGTCTTTTTAAAGATAACCCCCACTTTCTTCATCGATTTTTACCGATTTTTGTAGCAAATCCGTCACAAATTTTGAAGAAAGCTCGTCACAGTAAACCATATAAATTTTAATTAACTTTCATATGAATATATTTCAGTAATTTAACTTAATAAAATGTATAACTAAGTATAACTTTGTATGTTTGTATTCGTTCACAATCACGATCGCTTTCTCAATCTACTCGATTAATGCGTCATTTAATTTGTTATCAACAACATTATCAGTCACGCCATCAATGTGTCGTACGTTTTAATTTGTCGGTTAGTCTTTGTTTTTGTCAAATTAACTATCGGGTAGATAGTGGGCTTCCTTTCTTTGAAATGAGTTTCGTTTTGCTAATTGCTTGCTTCAAATGCTTTAGTAAGAAATGACTTTATACTAATTTATCGTAGGTCTCATTTATTCTGAAACTAGCTTCTGCCCGCGACTTCGTACGCGCAATCCCATTTCCGCCCCGTTCCCGTTCGTGATTTTCGGTAAAAAGTAAAAAAAAATATTTTGGTCAAAAAGTATCCTATGTCGGTCTCCTGGCTCTAAGCTACCTCCCTACCACACCTTATAAACATATGGAGTGCAATAAACGTATTGAGTATTGAGTATTGAGTACCAATTTTCAGCCAAATCTATTCTGCCGTTCTTGAGTTATAAGTGGTGTAACTAACACGACTTTCTTTTATATATATAGATAGATAATGATTTATTTTATTTTTTAAAGAAGTATTATAACTCACCTATTCAGTTCCTCAATCACATCTTTCGAAGTAGCAGCCTCATGGAAACTCAGCGTGTGTTCTTGCTTCACAATAATCGGTTCCGGGGCAGACGCTTGTGCAGTCCCGGCCTTGCTCCGGTCTACCACGGGGATCTTCGACCTATTCCTACTCGGAGAAGATGGAGGCCTCTTCCCTCCCATAAGCGTTGGAATCCTGCTCCTCTCCCTCAATTTCCCCTCTCTAACATCGTTCTTATTACTTACTATCACAGTTTCAGCAGTAGACGTGCTAGTCGTATTAGATTCAGTCATTTGCGGGGAACCACTCTCAGGGGACGATCCCTCCTCCTCCTCAGGTACAGGAACTAAAGCCCCCGTACTCCGTCGACAAGCACTCAGGACTTCCTCCACTAAGGACATCTCCTCATTACTGGCATACGGAAAGCTGGACGATTTGGTTATGCAAGGCTCCACCTCCCTCTCAAGCGGCGATTGTTTATTCAACATTATATTCACAGTGTTCTCCTTCAGCGCTGAGTTGTGGTCTAAACTTCGACTAGATTCGATATCACTCGGCCTCTCCTCCTTCACGACGAAAGGCTGGTCTTCAACCTCGACAGCTTCGATCACATCAATGCTTTTATTTATTTCATTTTTCCTTTGGACTTTTATGAGATGCCTTTCATCTATTTCGTTCTCTGCGTTTTCAACTCTAGAAAATTCGTCAAAGAAATCTTCGGATTCAGCGTAAGGGTCTTCGCGTTCGATGAATCTCGGTGTGGACCGTGGCTCGGATACAGTATCACAGAAGGCGACCCGTGGTCGGTCGCCGTGTAGGACGTCACAAGAATCGTTTTCAGAGAAGCTGCCGAAGGAGTCAGGCCGCTGTCTGTCTTCTGACACTTCACTGCGAGGACCCACTGAGTCGTCGTCAAAATCGGCCGCGGCATATGGAGGTGGTAACTCTCTGATTTCTGACAGAGGTCGGGACGACATCGAATCTGATTCTTCCCTATCCCTACAATACTTCTGCTGCTCAGCGATGAAATGCAGCACGTTTTGCAAAGCCACCTCCCTATCTTGCAGAGCCATTGCTTGCACATCGTGGATTCTTAAATGATTACTTGAATCCTGTGCTGGAATACCCCTGGACGAATTTGATGCTAAGCTCTTTGTGCTTTCGTATTTAACGAGTCGGTAGAAATCTCTCGTGAAATCTAAGCCAACGTTGGCACAGTCACCGTCTTCACTCAGAGCAGTACTCGATCTTTTATCAGGCGCGTCGGATGCACTCGACCATGAGCCGCCGGGTGAGTGTGTACCTGTGCAATCCCATCTTTTCTCCGATGTATCAGCGTCATCTGCTATTCTGCACTCGTCTATTTCTATAGTTGCAAATCCACAATCATTCCAAAGACAATCACCGACATCTTCCTCTAATTCTAGTGCATCATCTTCCCTGATGCTGGGTAGTGTTGATAGAGATATTTGGCCTGGCGTAGTAATTTCTGCAAAGGGGGACTGCCTGTCCCTGAGATCTTCACAAGATAGTGATAAGCTCCAATCTTCTAGTTCAGCTCTATCATATTCCAAATCTGCTAGATCTCTATGTCGCTGCTGTAGGGCCGATCTTGCATCGTCTAATTCTAGCCAGTGTTGGACATAGTCAGCGTCATATTGGGACCCATCAGCGCGGTCATCTAGCGTGCTGCCCCATGAGACCCTTTCTGAGCTCGTTGTTGAAGCAATGGCTGCTCGCCTCAGTGGTCTTTCGGGGGCAGGTTTCAGATCTAGTACTAATACACCAGAGCTAGGCGTTGGAGTGTCTAAGCAGCTGGTGGGACAAGTAGTTCCAGCGATTAACTTTAAGCATAAATGAGAATCTGAGAAACTTCGCACTACGTGCTGGAAAGGTAGCACTGGTCGCGAGGGAGGATAGCTGCCCCTGACGCCAGCGAACGCGACTCCTATTGGGAAGTAGATGTAATCTGCATCCGTGGCTAGGAGTCTTGCATGTCTTCGAGATTCTCTAGGGTTGATGGAGACGATGGTTTGGTTGTCGGTTTCGTCAGAAGCCTCGTTGAGGTCAGGCAGGGCTCTGTCAGCCGCGTGGTCGCTTTGCCGCGAGGCGTCGGCTTGTACATCGCTGGACATGGTGGAGTAACCCTCGTCTTTAGCTCCACTCTCTGGAGACTCGGCACCAGCCTCGCCAACCTCACCGCTTTCCTCTTCCGTTACTTTTTCTCCACTGGCTCCTGGAAAAAGAAAGTAAAAAATTAAAGCAATAAAATTAATATTAATTCTTTTGAGATCATCGTGCTGAAATCTATTTGATATCATTAATCAAGTTGTTACCTCTAGCGGAGTCGGTGCAAGGTTGCGGCATGCTGAGGCTGAGCGTGTGGGGTCTGGCGGGGGGCGCCCACAGCGTGGGGTCCACGGCGGACAGCGCACGGGCCAGGTTCGCTGGGGTCACCTCCAGGCCCTGGAAGGTTGGAAGCATATTGTGATGCTCGATATTAGCAGCCATGCCATAGCCATTGGCTAGTGCCAATGCTACATGCTCAATAAATATTTCGATCTTTATTGCTGTTCCACAATTGCTATGAAGGTTTTAATAAAAGTAGCAGTTTTGAATACTATTGGTACATGCTGTAATTTATTGATAGTTTACCTTCAATTCAGTCCAGATGTCAGCCAATATCTGGTGGCGCCGCTTGTCGTCGTGGCTGAGGGGGTGCGGGTGAGGCACGGGCGGCGCTGGCGGCGGGGAGTCTCGGAACGATACCAGAGACCCGCAGGAGCCAACGTCTACCAAGTGCACTGGAATTTTGTGGCAAACAGATTAAGTCATGCAAATATTGATTTTTACACATAGATTATGAAGTCTCAAAGCATGGAAATTGCATTCAAACATTTCTTTCTCCATCTGATCGATTATCATAATCGAGCGTGGCTCTGCAAAATGTAACACAAATCTAAAAATGATTAACTGTCTCCGGTTGGTTCTTGTAATATCAGCGTCACTGTAGACGGTTCTTTATTTGGTCGGATCCTCTACAATTCTTGTAAGCACTTCTTACCTTGTAGATCTCGAGGTGTATGAGGCGTTAGAGGCGTGTGCGGCGTGGCGGGCGAGGGCCTCGGCTGCGGCCGCAGCTGCCGCACGAGCAGGGCGCTCAGCGCGCGGTTCTGTGCCTCCAGCTCGCGGATACGGGCGCGCGCACATCCCAGCTCTTCGCGCACGCTCTGCAACAACGAACATACGGGTTATTTCGGAGATTATGAAGCTTGCCACGATAACGCTGTTCATTTATTTTGTACAATTGTAAGTAATAAAACTATTGAGGATGTAAATTATAATTTGATAAATTTGGTTTTTTTTATGTCGCTAATTAATTATTTACAAAGTATAAATGTGATTGTGTTTAAAGCGATAGACGCTTCTATCGATTGCCTGTTAGTTGTATCGATCATATCCTGTACATTAAACAATGTAATTTGACTTCACGTTTTTTGGTATTTAGGTACAACTACGTAAGTACCATTTCTTGTTATCACAGAAATTAAAAATGTTAAAATATTCCATGAGGAATCTTCCTAAGTTGCGTAGCTATCACCAGACGAACTTTACTGTATCTCCCCCAACTCACCGGATCTCGTCAAAATGTCTTCGAAATAAACGCGTACATTTTAATTATACTTCATTAGCTAAATTAAATTCGAGTTGGGTAAATGACGGGGGTAAATAGGGGAGAAAACTTGGATACGTAAGTATACGGGTTTTCCGAGAGATGGACTTTGCTTTGGTATCGTCAAACTCTCCAAGTGTATGTATAAATAGGTGTCTATCTATACATAGAGAATTTGGCATGGTATGTGCCATTAAGCTGTCCGAATCAGTCGATTTTTAATAGGCTTTCAACCCTATTATGTTGCCATAAAGTTGGAAATATAGAGGTATCTGTACCAAAAGTTATATTTTCTTGAAGTGATTTAGTATCTCCTTTGACATGTGTATGGTTAGATTCCTTATGGACCTCTAGCTTTTAGGATTTTTGGCCAGGAAAGGGTCGATTTCTATGGTCTGTTAAACACCGGAGTTTGAAGATATAAAGATTGGTTCTGTCTTTACAGAAGCATCTTAGCAGGCGTAGCTCAATAATAGTGTCTGTACGGTAGCAGATAGTGTTTGAAAAACAATCTTAACGTAACGAAATAAGGATGAAAGTCAATAGTGTCGAAGAGGCTGCACGTTGAATGGATTTAGGAGCTCATAACTTAGGGGATAGGTTTAGTTTAGAACTTTGTTCGGCTTATGTAAAGTTTAGCGGTCAGTTTAGCTGCACTATTATCTATGTTTACTAAAGTATATAAGAATAACACCGCTACCACGGCTAATTTTCCATAGAATTAGTATAAGAAACTTATTTTTTTATTAGTCACAAACACAGAGTTTCATAATTAATAAAGAAAGGTAAAGAAATCTCACAAAATCAAGGGATACGGTACAAAGTATATATATTACTAAAATACACATGTGACAAGAATGTAAAGGTGAATAAAATGAATGAAAAGACATGACATGGTGTGTGGGTACATATACCAAACCTGTGATAGAATTATTATTATACATACATTGAATCATTATAATCATTATAAGTTGCTAAATACTCAAACATATAAAACACAAATCTTTTAATCAACCACAATTTAACTGACGCTGCGTTTGACCATCACATTTCGGCCTACACAATACAATATTCCAAAGATATGCACTTCATTTTATCTAAGTACAGAAATCTCTTAAAATAACACACAAACCAGCCTAATTAAAATGGAAACATTCCAGAACTTGGAGAGCAGTTTTAATAAATTCAATTAACCGTAAATAATATTAATGGAGTAGAGTTATAAATTTTAAGTGATTTTCTTTTACACAGAAAGGATTTGAATGTAACGGGTTATCTACGAAGGGGAGAAGTTTGACTAAAGATATTTTATTGTTAAGAAGATGGTCGTGTTTTGAAGAATGGTTGATTTTCAGATGGTCTTGATCGTCCAGCTGTTATAAGCGTGTCTTGGTATAATGTTCTGAGGTGCCTATCTAGGTACGAGTACGAGATGATTTCTAGGTTGTAACTATAGTAAGGAGATTCTTTTTATCGTAATTTACATGAATAAAATGAAGTCTAGAATATATAAAAGATATATATCTACTCATTTAGACTTAGACGTCTATAAGAATTCCCCCCTAAAAAAAGACCTCTTTTAGGGGTGTGACTTCACTCTCGACTGGCGAAATCATATCTCCGCGCACGTGGTCTAGACGAGACAAACATAACTATTGAAAAACGAAAACATAAAATTACACCAATATAACAACCAATATTGTTGTTCCTTCATACTTCAAAATTAATAACAATGTATTATTTCAAACTACCAATAACACAAACATCGTAAACACCGTACCAATATAATCATCGTCTTCAATTTCAAATTACCTATCTATCGCCGAATTACTCAAACGTAAACTAATAATCTTCGCTTTCAACCCGCATGTGGAGTCTCTAATTACTTGTGAAGGATCATACGTATACTTATGTACAAGATACTCCACAGAAACGTGTATTCATCTCTCATAATTATCATATGACATTAATTACTCGATAATATCCATATCCCCCTAATGTCTACCAACCAGCTAATAGATTAAGTGCATTGATGAAATTGAGAACACGAAGTTTCGTCGTAAATTCATTTTATAGCTCAAACTTGACCATTTGTGGCAGTAAAATCATTCAGAAATTGTTCTCCTTGATTACAGATATAATAACTGTTAGTATAATTGTTTTGGGCAATAATTAGACGGTAAATTCATCTTAAGACGTTTCATAACTTTACGAAAGGATATTTTAAGTTGTCTATACTAAAAATACTTCGCGCTGAATGAATATTTAACGACCAAAGTTTGTCATTAACATTTTCCAGCGTTATGTGAAAACACGAGCGTCAAACTTTGAAAAACAATCAAAAGCGGTCGTCGTTTGCAAGCGGCGCCATCTTTATCAGGAAAGTTGGCGCCAAAACTACAACAACATGGCGGACATTTACAAAATGGATTTAAACACAAACGGTCGCATTATCGGACAGATTATGCCCAGATTATAGTGGGCCAGGCCTTTTGAAATTATTACGGTGCCAGCTAAGGCCAAAGTGTCCCATTTCGTGCGATTTATGTGCGAATGTAGGCACCACGTAATCCACGGACGCGGATACAAGGGCGACTATAATTATGAGAAACCAATTTCCGGGATGCATCTTAATGCTTCTTGGATTATATGACAGACATTTGTTTTTTTGAAGATTAACAATGGACACTGTGTTGCTTTGTTTTAATCTTTTAAAGGAATCGCGTAACGCACGAAACCTTCAGTAAAATTATACTTAATTTCAAGGGTTTCAAATCTCTTACTTTCATCATGAAACGAGCTAGATTTTATAAGAAAAAAAAAATATTAAAATTAAATAAAATAGTCCAAGGATGAAATCTTAGGCAGTGTGATGGTATTGTACCATGAAGGTTAGAGTGTTAAGAATGAGAAAGGATTCTAGCTAACAGGGCTAAAAGACTGGTCTCACCTTCTGCGAGAGAAGCGCTCGCACAACTTGCTGCGCGACATCGTCGAGCCTGCGCTCGTGGTCGCCCGCGCCCAGCCCAGCGGATAATGTGGACAGTTGGCTGCGCAGCCGGTCGTTCTCAGTGCCTAGCGCGGACAGCTGGCTCTGATAGTGGGCCGCCGACGCCTGCAACAACCAACCGACTTTCAGCACAACTTTGCATAACCACGGACCACGACACACTAAATTATATTGTTTACACGAAACAAGGCTGTTTCTGCGTTCCCCATTAATCTGTTTACCCCACAAATAGGGCGTAAAAATATAGCAGTTTAATAATAAACCTGACATTAAAAAAACAAGCTTTCCTATCGTCCACAGCCATATTTTTTCAGTCTCACTCATCAAAACGTCACGGACATTCTTGTCGTCAGCAGCGCTACGCTAAAAAAATACCCCCGAAAACGGACCATCGTTCACACTCTTAATTAAGCGAGAGTTCTCACAACAAACGAAACCAGAGTAAATTGACCCGCTCCGCCCTCTGTGGCCTACAAAAACAACACCGCCGAGCAGTATTCCTATTTGGCGTCACAGGTCTACTGATATTTGACAAACTGGTGTTCGACACTACTCGAAAGGATTTTGAATCTTAAATGCTATGCAGTAAAGTCTATAATATGAGATATATTTATTCAGCGTGAGGTTTTCATTAGTCATCAAGTGAGGGCGAGACAACGAATCTGTTTGTCTGTATGTCTGAAACAACACGCGAGTGATAAGCGATGAAAGGGTTAGGATTGAATGGCGAGCCCTTTTCAATTTGGACATGCTTATAATTATGACTGCACAGTTTTAGGTGGGAAGGTCTAGACGTTCACGGTTAATAAATCATGAAATGTAATACTTACAATTTAAATTCTAATTTATTAATTACCTAGAGATAATCTTCAAATATTAAAAAAAACAATCGTAGTATTACAAAATTCTTTGTAAACAACTTTAATAATTTTGCTAAACTATTTCTGACAACGTCAAACTAATAACTGTCAAACGATTTTTTTAAAATAAAATGTTTATGATATGTATGTTTATACCAAAGAGGATGGATTAACTCGTCGAGTACCGGTTTTACAGACACAATTAAAGAACAATAGGTCGCGGTCACCGGTGACCGCTTGGTATTTGACAGTTTAATTATTGAAGTATTCAGCTGAATTTTGCATATTTTCATATTATACTTAAACATTTTAAAATCCTATGTATGATTAACATAATTTACAAATGAAGCAACAAATAAATTTTATAAAACCGATACATAACTGTACGAACAATTTAATTAAAATTCCTCGTGATTGACTGGCAAATCAAATGTACGTTTATTTCATGATTTAATTATTTATCAACCGCGCCGCCATTTTGCTGTCTGCGGGGTTAATTTTGTAGATTTAATTTATATTTTGAATTTCGAATCGAACCGCAGATGTTTTACGAGCACAGATAATTAAAGTGAAGAGCATTTGATTGGTTTCCTTCGAATGCTGGAGTGATGTACGATTGGATTGTAAATTCCTTTACATTTGTTTTGATGTACGAAAGAGAAGGTATGCTGCTGTTGTAATAGAATGAAAATGATATTTTTTTCATTGGTATTACATTATCTTGTTGATCTAGAAGAAGTCACATTAAAGACTAAAGCCTTGTTAGCACTGCGCTAGTATTTTTCTGTCTTAGTATATTCTGTCCCAAAATCGAAACGAGAGCTACTAAAAACTCGCTACGTTATTACGCTACTCAACTAAAACACTGGCGCAGTGCGAACAAGGCCTTTGGGACGATAATTATGGAGAGAGCATAGTATGGATTTAAGATTTGATAATTTAAATTTGTGCCCTATTTTGTGTTTATTAATTTAGGAAACTTGCTTACTAAATAGACGGCATTACAAGAAAACAAATATTCTTTTTGTTATTAAAGTATCCAAGTAATGAACTAAAAGATTTCTATTTTTAAAAAGAAAAACTACACTTCAGTGCAAGAAAAGTGACCATTTATTAAAGTGATTTATGATATCAATCACCGGCCGCCATTACACTCTCCTTATTTTTATGTTTGGTAATAACAGCGTAAGTTTAAGCATAAATCACAACCCTTTGCATAGCAACTGCGATTTGTCACACGTCGCTTTCTTTTTATAGTGGGTGAAATAGCCATAGCCATCATTAGATATTCGTGGTGTTTAAGTTCTGATGGCTAAGAAGAAAATAATCTCATAGTGTGGATTTGGTTTAATTTGACTGCACGGTTGGCGCGATGGCTGGGCAACTGGCTACCATGCAATGTGTCGCGGGTTCGATATCCACACGGAACAACTCTGTGTGATCCACAGATTGTTGTTCCGGGTCTGGGTGTCATGTGTATGTGAACTTGTATGTTTGTTAAACGCACCCACGACACTGGAGAAAATCCTAATGTGGTGCAACATTTCTTTACTAATAGAAAAAAAATGCATATATATATGTGAGTCACAGTATAAAAATCTGTTTTAAAAAGCGGATTTTCGCTAACTCATAATAAGATTCACACTCAAACGTTTAAAAATGTAGTAAATAATTATTAAGCATTCAATACCCCTGCATTGTGCAAAAGATCTTAAAAATAACCTACAAGATATTTAACAAAGATTAAAGATTACGAACTAAATCCAACCATTTAACTTATTAAATTATCCGTACAATGACAAGTCAGTTTGCTAATCATTGTTAACATCATAGTTACGCTCAAACCACGATTCATAAGATTGATGAATTTAATCACGATTGTTGATGCCGAGAATAGTCATTGTTTTGTAAACTACGAGGGGTTTTCAACAGAGGCCGAAGTGATTACATTTACGGCAATAAGTAGAATTAAAGGCGGTCGTGGTGTGCCATTAATCATGGCCAGTAGTGTAGACATCATTACGTTTGTTCGGTCACGCGTTCGCTAATGTTCGGGGTAGTTCGTTGTTTTCTTTTGGTGGGCCTGCTATTTTTAGTCGAAAAAATGGGAATGGATATTTTTAAGTTGAGACAAGGATTGTGGTATACATACATGTTAGAGATTGATTTCTTTTTAAGAGTTCGTTAAATTTTGGAACGTATTTGAATTTGATAGGGACGTGACAATTTGCGACATTCACGGTCAAATAAAAGACACTCGGCGTGTATTCTATCTACACGAAATTGTACACACGGCCACACATCAATCAACATAACATAACATCACGCCTTTTTATCCCCGAAGGGGTAGGCAGAGGTGCACATTTCGGCACTTAATGCCGCTGTACAATGTAACACCCACTTTTCACTATTTATGTTATGAGTCCCATGTAATAGGGGGTGAGCCTATTGCCATATACCGGGCACATTTTTCCAGACTCCGTGCTACTACTGAGATTTTTAAAAACCCAGTATTACTTTGCCCGACCCGGGAATCGAACCCGAGACCCCTTGCCCGGCAGTCGCACTTGCGACCACTCGGCCAATGAGGCAGTCAATCTATTTTTAATTATAAGTTTGAAATCGCCAACCCGCATTGAGTAAACGTGGTGATTAATGTTCAAACCTTCTACGTGTAAGAAGAGGCTTTGCTCAGCAATGGGCATTTATAGGCTGTTGATGTGTATGTTGAAATGTTTGTAACAAATGTTACTGCGTGTATTAAAAGATAATTCTGTCAGGTCTGTGGGTCTACCTCTGACATCCCTTTCGCCGTCTAATCAGATATTGGTGCTATACAATTCTCGATGGTTTCTATTTTATGTCCTAATCATGTGGAGAAGTAGGACACAAATAGAAATGCACTCTATATACTTACAAAAATAGAGTGCATTTTTATTTGTGTTCATATAATTGTGTGGCTGCATGATTCTAATTTTACGTGACCATTGAAATCCTATGAATAACTAAATTATTTATTTCACTTGTATGACACAAAATTATAATTCTATCACTGAATAATGCATACCATCTCCTCAGTTTGGTTAATAGATGGCGGCAGTTTCCAATTTGGTCGGATTATCTTATCCTGGAGTGCGCCGAGTTAGTTCGACATTCTACGCCTGTAATAGCTACCTTGGACCTGTTCGCATTGTTTAACTGCAAAGACTTAATATAATACTGAGAAATAAAAAAATATCGGTAGTCTGTGAGAGGGATTTACCATAATCTGTATACTTGATCGGGCAAGGGGTCTCAAGTTCGATTACTGGGTTTTAAAATAATCTTAGTAGTAGCACGGAGTCTGGAATCATCATACATGGCAATATTCTCACCCTATGACCTCTATGGGACTTACAACATATATAGTGGGTGTGACATTGTACAGTGGCATTACCCCTTCAGGGATAAAAAGCGTGATGTTGTGTAATTTCTATGCTTGATTGGAGATTGCCAGGTTTATCAGCGTGAGCGTTGCTGCTCGTCGGTGTCTATCAAATATGGACGATTGTTCTATGATACACCTCGGTAAAAATTGGATTAGTGTCAGTCATTACATGGCCAATTTGGATATGTTGTAATGTTCCATGGTTGTGTGGTCACATGTCACACGATAATATAGTAATGAATTATTTTGTCCCCTTAACTCGTTGAGTAGCGTCACTATAGACACAATTATAGAACAATAGGTTGCGGTCACCGGTGCCCTCGCGGTGTTTGACAGTTTAAACAAATCAAATAATTTCGTCAAACATCATCTGTTGATGAGATGATAAGAAACAGCCTATAAATGCCCACTGCTGAGCTGTTCTTTTCACACGGAGAACGTTTGAGCATTAATCACCAAGCTTGCTCATTGCGGGTTTGCGATTTGAAACTTATAATTAAAAATTATAAGCCTAGATTTCCTAACGATGTTTTCCTTCACCGTTTGTCAGTGGTGTCTAAATAATCTTAGAAAGTACATATAACTCGGAAAAAGTCACATTGGTACTTGCCGTTCGTAAGTTTCGAACGCGCACCCTCATGCATGAGAAGCGGGTATCTTAAACCTGCCCACCACGACAATAAATCATTTATTAGTTAATAAACAACTAACAATAGATATCGTATCGTCCAATACATTGGAAACCAACTAATTGGTTTCGTTAGCGCGCAACTATGGCGGGCCGACGTTGGCTCGCTAACGTAATTATGAATATACCT